GACCCTCCTGTCCCCAGCCTGCCCTCCCAGACCTGGTTTTTCTCTGTTCATGACAGGGAAAGGCAGGAGCCCAGAAGCAAAAGATTGTGGCTGAATTTGAGCGACTGCATCGGTTTCTGGAGGAACAATAGCGTCTGCTCCTGGCTAAGTTGGGAGAGCTGGAGAAGGAGACTGAGAAGAGTCAGGAAGAGGGGGTCACCAAACTCACTGGGAAAATTTCTGTTCTCAACAGCCTAGAGGGGAAGTGCTGGGAGGGAGCCAGTGACTTCCTGCAGGTGGGGAAGGTGTAACCCCTCTGATTCCTTCACTGGGAAGGGAAAAGTCTGAATCATGGGGCTGTGGGGGCTCAGAGGTCATGGTTTGCAAAGGGGCCAACAGTACCCAGATGCTTGTGTCCTTTATCCTCCCCCACCCTACTGAGAACAGGAGGGTCCTGAGCCTGTGCTGTGTGGCACTGAGCTCTCCCTCTCCTCTTTCTCTCCCCTCCAGGACATCCAGAGCACCTTGAGCAGGTAGGTCACTCAACCTCATTCCTCATGCAGGATGCAGGCCGGGGGCCTGGACACAGTACTATGATCACATCTTCTCATGGCACCACAGGACATTGCGTGAGGCAGGGTTGGATACAGGCCTTTGGTGAAGGTCCAGTGCTGAGGTTGTTCCCCCTTTAATATAAGCTGCTGGACAGTCCTTTTGGGTGAGAAGGACTAGCCTCTGCTATTCTAGAGGAAATATACACCCCTGGGCAGTGGGTGCCTGAGGGTGGTAGGGTTGGAATCAGGTCTTGTCACTTTTTGATCCTTGGTGAATCGCCCTGGCCACCAGAGCTTGAGCCAGCTGGGCATGATATCTCAGTTCCTTTCCGATCCCAGAAAATGTCTGGGACAGTTCAGAGTTGAAAACCATTACTTGACCTATACTGAGAGCACTGGCACTGCCACTGTCCATTCTGCCCCTGCCCTGGGGCTGCAGTACATAGACACATTCAGTCCTCAGGTGCCTCCATCTAGCCAGGGTTACTACCATGACGTGAGTGGGGAGGGAGCTGTGGGCCCCTGCCTCATTGATAGCCAGACCCCAGAGCCTCGTGTCTGGCCACCAATGTTAAGAGCTTAAATGAAAGGAAAGGCAGTTTTCCTTGTTTAAAGTCAGCTGGCTTGGCTCCAGGAGTCATGGGGGAAGCTCTAAGTTCCTCTCCCAAACTGGAGAATCCCTAAACCCAGAAGCCTCTTTCCCAACACCTGCAGGTGCAGGGAGAGTGTCTGAGGGGGCAGGAGAGGAGCTGGGAGGGAGCAGAACAGGGAGGCGAGGGGTGGCCTGGGTGAAGCTGCACCTCTGATATCCTGCACCCCCACGGGAGTGGATGGTGACTCAGGATGGACCCCTGGACTTCCCCAGCCAGTGCGAGGCCTTGGCTGACCCCTAAGCCAATGAATGAGGGAGTTGCAAACTTTATCCCCTTAGCCAAGGGTTCCCCACAACCCCACCACTTTCACTTCTTTGGCACTGAGTGCCTCCTCCCCAGTGCCTAGGGGTGTTTGTACTCACCACGGCATTTGATCCTCGTTAATTTACAGTGCCTTAAAAATTTTAACCAGGGTTATTTTGGTGCATCGCGTTTGTGTTTTCATGCCATAGGCTTTTGAATGAAGTCCTTTGTGCCATTCCCTGTAAATTCCAGCAGGGGGAGCCAAATACCAACCTGGCTTGGATCGCCTGGAAGCAAAATCCTTGACATTGGTGTGTGGCAGGCAGAGACTGGGGCTCTGACAGGGCAAGGGGGGCGGGGGTTACCTCTGAGGTCAGTGGGCAGCTCCATGGCCAGCTGGGCAGCACAGGCAGGGCTGGAGGTGCAGGAGGCTGTGGGGCAGGAGTGAGGGGCAGCAGCAGGGGGTGGGGGGCGGGGGGGGGGGGCAGCGGGGGAGGGGGGGGGGGGGGCGGGGTGGCTGTGGCTTGGTATTGAGGGGCAACACAATGGGCAAAGACAGGGCACCAGCACATCACTGCCCTCCCCAGCATGACAGGACTACAGTTCCCAGCATCCCCCAGCTGTCCAGGCTTGGTACAGTTCCATGGGGACCCCTGGCCGACCCATGGATCACCGTCTCATCTCAGGGCTTCCAGGTGCATGGTGTCATTTCTCCATCAAGCCAGAGTTTCTTGCAAGGGGAGAGTTTCTTAACACTTGTGTGTGTACTTCTTAGCAATCACTCAGGTGCAATAAAAATGCATGTTCCCTTATCTGTCTGCCTGCCTTCTTTTTTTTTCATGCCTGTCTCTGGGTAGGAGGGGGTAGGGGAGGAAAACCCTCAGCTTCTCCAAAGAGACAGAGCTCAGCCTGAGGAGGTGCTAATGGCCCTCTTTGAAATTGTAAAAACTTTTCACAAAAAGGCAGGCAAGGTCCAGGCTCACCAATTCTCTACTGACAACTCACAGCTATAGCTCCTAGTCCAGACTCTGCACGCCTGCCCATTAGTGCAGTGGTTTTCAATTTTTTTCATTTGTGGATCTCTAAAAATTTTAAACAGTGATGCGGACCCCTTTGAATGATAAGTATGGGTATTCACATACTTTTGATTGATCAGAAAAACAGAATGCCTTCTTTTGTAGACCCCTTAGACATAGTCTGTGGGCCCTCTGGAGTCTCTAGTAGCAAGTCACAGCTGTGTAGGTCAAGGGCAGTCAGAGAAGGATTTCAGCTTTAAGGTGTAACTGGTCCAAACTCAAGCTAGCACTAACACAGATCAACATTTGAGCAGCTCAAAGTGCAACATGTAACAAAGCCTTCAACCACAGAGTTTGGTCCGTGTCACAGAGATGCAGATTCAAGCATCCCATTTTTGGGACTATCCCCATTGCCAGGTACAGACATTACACTTTTACTGGTATAAGTGATTGGAAACTAGTCCATACCTATAATAGAACAGAAGTCCAGTGCATACAGACTGGTTTAAAAGTGGCGGAACTCACCAAAAGGCAAATGTGTGTTGTTCGCTACCAATCTAAGCTACGCTGCTTACAGAAAACTGCCTTGGGCTTTTTTAATGTCTGTACCTAGCTCATGTGCTTAGTGGCCCTTGAGGCCTCAGCCTTTCTCCAGTCCTGCTCCAACCTTCTCTCAGCCTACCTTTTGCCCATGATAGTTCAGTTATATGCCTTCAATGCTAGACCCGATTCATGGTTTGTACTGCTTGGTTGCTTGCCAGTGGATGGCAGTCTTGAGTGTTGACCACTCCAAATTCAAGGCTGTATTATTTTCTGTTCAATGGATTTTGTCATCGAGAGTCTGTATTTCCCTCCTGGTGGCAGAGATGCTTTGTGGTACATCCAGCTTTCATTCCTGCAACCTGATAGCCTTGCTGGTCAGAATCTGGCTCCTCAATCCAGCTGGGAGTTGGGTGGTTGCTAGTTGCATGAAATGCCCAGTATTCAGTGCTACAGCTTCCAGGCAAGGGGTGCACTGTGCCAAGGGCTGCTGTTCCAGCCTGAGCATGTAGAGTTTCCTGGAAGCTTCCTGGTGTCACCCTTGCACGGGCCAGCCAGGCACCCATCTGGCTTACGTGGATGCAGAATAGACTCCAGCTTCTTCCCTCAAAGGCAAGCTGATCCAAGGATTTTTCCTTCCCTCAGGGACAAATTCAGACTCAGCTGCAGCTTCTAAGAAGAGAGAGAAAGCAGCTGGAAGGACTGTGAGAGAACAAAAGTCAGAAACACCAAGAATATGAAGTGGGTAGCGGGAAGCAGGAAGTGAAATCTCCTGCTCTATATAGAGCCTAGGTCATTTAGGGCCTTAAAAATCCAGGAGCTACTGGGAGCCAGTGCCGACTGCTTCAATGAATTCATGTGGTCCTGGTGGCCCATTCCCATCAGAAGGCAGATGCCTTGTTGTACACTAACAACAGCTTCCAGGTGGCCTTTGAGAGCAACGCCGCAGCCCACATAAGGTCATCATCCAGCCGTGAGGTTGCAAAGGTGGGGAGGAGATGGGTATGTAGCAGCCTCCAGCTGCTCTTCTTTTGACAGGCAATATGGTAAAGAACAGGCAAAGGAGCAAGCAGAGGTGTGAACTGTGTTTAGTGGCCAGAGGGTCAGGGTCCAAACCTGACAGCGTGAAATCATCTGTATTTGGCATGCTGTTTGGGAGAAGGCTTTGACTGCTGACAGCACATTTAAATTAGAAGGAGGTAAAAAAACTGCAGTTCATGAAATCCTGACCAACTGTGAGGCATATTGTACCTTGCAAAGGGAAGGTACCCAAAAGTTTAATGTGTCTATAATAACCTGAAGAAACCCTAGAGCAGGACACAACAGGGTGAAGGACACACAGGAAGAACAGAGGATTTGGGGGACCTAACAGAGTCTCTGAGCAGCGACTGAATACTTTCTGGCAGTGAAGACAGTTTTATTTTCTGGGTCTCCTTGGTGAGTGCTGGAGGCTCAGGTCCCCCAGATCCCTGTGCAGGGCTCTACAAGGCGATGCTGCCCTTGCCCCATCCTGAGAGGAGAATCTCACTGTTCTCCTACAGGGGAAGACACCAGGGCTCCCAGCAGGTGCAGTGGAAGGTCTGGAGAAGCATTTGCCAGTGAACAGCTTTGAGGTGAAATCAGGTTCAATGGAGGAACATGGTGGGCTCTTTTCTTTTTTCTCTCTTTTTCCCCAAGGAAAACTGGATGCTTTCTGGCAAATATAAGTCTTTAGGCAGTTCTCAACCCCCAGATAACAGTCCTGACAGCTCTGAAAAGCTTTTGGTGCACTAAGAAGTGCTGGGTGCATTGAATTATTGGGAAGTAATTTTGCAGTTTCCAATGGAGTTGTCCCCAGCTGCCTCTCCACAAAGGGTTAACAGATTCCCCAGCAATCCAAGGCCTAGATCTTGGCCCCTGGGCTCCTGCCAGGTCAGCAACAATCCAGTCATTCCCAGAAAGGAAACGCCCCAGTGTGACCCCAGCTCTGAGCTCAGGGAAGTGAAACCAGTCCTGTCCCCTCTCAGATCACAGCCATGGCTGCCGGAAGCTCTGTGCAAAGCCTCCAGGAAGAAGCGACCTGCTCCGTCTGCCTGGACTTCTTCAGGGATCCGGTGATGATCATGGGCTGTGGGCACAACTTCTGCCGAGCCTGCATCACCCAGTGCTGGGAGGGGGCTGAGACAGATGTCACCTGTCCTCAGTGCAGACAGACCTTTCCCCAGAGGACCCTGGGCCCAAACAGGCAGCTGGCGAATTTTGTAGAAATAGCCAAACAACTGTGTGTGCAGGCAGTGAAAGGGGCAGGAGGGGAGCGGGTGTGTGAGGAGCATGGGAAGGCTCTGAAGCTCTTCTGCGAGACAGACCAGATACTGATGTGCGTGATCTGCCGAGAGTCCCGGGCACACCGAACTCACCCTGCAGCTCCCGCCCAGGAGCCTGCCCAGCAGTACAAGGTACGGGGGCGCGGGCGTGGATCAAAATGAACAGCTGAGGCTCGCTAAAGCTGCCTCAGAACCAAGGGTGGGCAATTTTGGGGGCTGGAGGGCCACAGGGAGTTTTGGTGAGCTGTTGTGTACCGGGTCAGCACCCCCACCCCCCAGCAACAGCTCACCAAAACTTGCTAAGTGACTGCTCTGCACTCAGTTGGGTGGATGCGATGGGATCACAGCTGGGTGGGCACCAGCATCTGGGACCGGGATGGATGGCCGGGGCCAGGGCTGGGATAGCGGGGCTGTGATAGCATTGGGCTGGGGTTCAGGGTAGAACTGTGGCCCGCTCCCCACATGCCCTGTGACAGGCACAGTGGGCCCTATTTTGCCCAGCCCTGCTCTAACCTGTGTCACTGCTCTCAGGGTGTGGACACAGGAGCACCTGGGCTAGGGACAAAAGTTACACATAAGCTGATTTAAGTGATCAGAAACTGGCTTAAACCTGTAAAAGAACAGAAGTTCAGCGCACACAAACCATTGTTGAAATGACCGAAACTGGTTTGAGATAAACCTGGTTGAATGTAGTACCAGACTTAACTGATTAAGGTCAAGCTGGTTTATGGAACTTCTACCCCAGGCCCCTTCCTGGTTTAAGTTAAATCATAGTCCCCCAGCATCCCAGCATGCTCTGGAGCCCTGGGCTGGGCTGTCTATTGCAGCCAAACAGGGTTGGCCCCACCTCTCTCCTCCCTAGTCGAAGCACTATCACTGCTCCAGGTGGTTGAGAAGACAGTGGGGGTGTGAAACCCTGCTCTGGAGTCCAGCCAGATCTACCTGGCAGGGGGGCAGCAGGCCTAGCCAGGCATCCCCACCCTCCAACCCCCTTCCCTGCTCCAGCAGCAGGAGTGGGGGCTTGGCCAGACGCTCATAGCCTGAGGGGAAGGGGGGTTTAACCCCACCATTGGAGGGGGTGGTGGCATGGGCATTGCTAGGGGATAGGCTCTGCTCGTACATCCAGGGCTGCAGCAGCCAAACACCTGTAGAGTGAGGGGAAGCTGGGGGGTGTTAATCCTCCCACTGTAGGCAGCAGCAGTGCAGGCACCGACACAGCACTTGGTCCGTCCCATGCTGAAAATCCCCACAGGCACGGCCTGCGCCCATGCCCACGCCACAGTGTCTGTCCCCGAGTTGAGTCCCTTGGAGGAGCAGTGAGTGGTGTCTAATGCCAATGGGGCAGGGAGGGAGGATGTGACCTGGCTGCAGGTGTGGAGGAAGGGTGTGGGGGGAGCCAGGGCTAATTACGGAGTTTGACTCACCTCTGCTTCTTGCTGCAGCTGCGTGGCCTGGGCTGGGGTGGCCCTAGGGGTGGGGGTCAGCACCTGCTGCCTCATGCCTTCAGCCCCACATGAGGACCACAGTTTGCAGGCAGACTGCAGCTGGATCATGGCTCCCCACCCTCTCCCTGTCCTGCTGGCAGTGTAGCAAACCATCGCAGTGGGCGCAGGTGAGGTGTATGTCACCCGCCCCCTGCTCACAGCAGCGCCGGGAACTTGGGGCAGCTTGTTGTGGGCCAGGGCTATGGGTAACAGTTGGGGGAGGCAGTGGACTACTGCAGACCAGTCCAGCCCAGCCCTGTGATCCAGGGGCTTGGGCAGCAACTGGCCCGTGGCAGCCTGGCCTGAGCCCTGGCACCACTGCAAGCAGGTAGTGGGTTTCATGCACCTCATTGCCCGATAGTTGGCCAGAGTGTTTGTCACTCATTTCCCCCAAACACAAGCAATAACCGCCCCTGTATACAAAGCTTCCTGAGCCCCCAGAGAAGGCTGCGCTGTGGTCTGAGCCCCTGGCTTCTGTCTCCTGTGCAGCCCAGCATTGTTCCTCTTGTGGTGCCTGATTCAATGAGCCAGTTAGGTAAGAAGAGCAACAACACCCCAGGGAACAGATCAGGTCAATAGTATCAAATGTTTTGGGTACTGTAACCCAGATGTCCCTGGTTGTGTACCCCCTTCTCCAATTGAAGGAAGATGTTGGCAGGGCAGGTGCACTGGGGGGTGGGGGGGGAACTGCTGGCTGAATGCAGCTTCCTTCCTTCCCCTATAGAGAGCCAAACCAGGACACTATATAACTTAGCTATATATAAGTTTATTAATATTTACAAAACATTAAAAGATAAATATGCATATAAACACAAACATAAATATCTACATATTCTATAAGACTGTTACCCATACACACACACCCCACTAAGAACAACAGGTGAATCAAAGATAAATACTACAGTGGAGGATCCCAGCCAGGCTTCATTAAAGATTATACACTTTAACTTCTATCATATTACAAATTCACAAATATAAAGATACACAAAATATAGCATACAATATTGAACTCTATTTAAATCTAAATTCACATAAAACATTGAATACACATATACTAACATATACACTCCTATATCTCCATTTTAAACAAATACTCAGCCCCACAGGATTAAACTAATATTTCAATATAGAGGACACAATCTTAAACTCTATCACATTACAGCTACTTAATTACAAACATACAAAATATAAGGCGCAAAACCCCTTAAACATAAGGTACCTCTTTAGGGACACCAAGGACCAGGCTGCCCTGGGGTCTTGGTTGGGTTACCGTGGCTGCAAGGGAGAAGGAGAAGCTCCATCGGTGCCCTGTAGACTTTCCCCTTCAGCCCAGCCAAAATATGTTTTAATAACCTGAAACTCCAACCTCAGGGAGCCCTGTCCCTTTGGGCTTCCCCTGCAAGGGTCAGACTCTCTGACCTGGGTAAACTCCCCCCTCCCTGTGGGAGTCCTTTCCCCAGTAACTCACGACTTGGGGGCCTTGCTGGAGGGTCCTTTACTCCTCCGGTGAGTTACTCTTCATCTCAGGGGCCTCCTGGGTCTCTGGCCCTGACTGGGCCCACCAGCCGCTGATGGCCCTGTGCACTGAAGTGTGCACCAAGGGCTTTATTCTTCCACCCAGGGTTGGGACCACAAGCAGCCTTGCAGGGATCCGGGGTCTCTGTTTCAACTGAGGCCCCTCATGCAAGGCTCTAGCCTTGGTTGCCTGGCTTCGTGCCGGGGGGTTGCAGGCCCCAGGTGCCCCACATGCATCCTGGGGCCTTGCTTTGCTCCTGGATTCCCCGAGTGCACAGAGTCTCCTCAGCCACCTGCACTGAATCTCCCTGGCTTCGTGTCAGGGGTGGGAGACCCAAGCCACCTCATATGGCTCCAGGGTCCTGGTTCTGCATGGACCCACGCCATGCACTGAGGACCTGGCCGCTTGCCAGGGGATGAGGAGCTGAGCTGTCCCATGCAGCTCTCAGAGTCCGGGTCCACTCCCGGACTGCTCCGTGCAGCGCTGCCTGTACTGTTCTGCCCAGGCCTCATGCCAGAGCTGGAGACCCGAGCCCCCTCATAGGGCTCCAGGGCCTTGGCTCATGCACCACCTGCACGCAGCACCTCTGGCTGCACACCAGAGGTGCAGACCCAAGCTGCTTCATACAGCTCCCAGGGTCTGCCCCCATGCACCACTCATACACCAACGCCTCCTTCCTCAGTGGTGGGGCTGGGTACGTGGCCACTCACCGCTCCTCATCTGGCAAAGGGGGTCTTCAGGCTCTTCTGGGGCCACCACATTTACCCTACTGGGCAGCTCTCCCCAGCTTTTCTTTAGCCCATCTTCCCCCTTCTCCATCCCTTGGAGCTGTGTCTGTATGCCAGGCCCCCTGGTCTTTTATAGTCTTCAGAGGCTCTGCCCCCCAGATTGAAAAGGGACCAATCAGGGTGAGGAGGAGTATAGTCCTTACCCAGGTCCAGGTGCCTTGCCTCCTCCCAGGCAGAGGCAGGGCAGCCTCTCCCTAACCACCACCTGATTGGTGGAAATGCTCCACCAATGGCTCAAAGCCCTTTCGAGCTGGCAAGCTGGGCTGCTACCGGCATGCCCACCACACTACCAAAGGTCATTGCACTTGTATGTGGGCAGCAATCTTGGTTGTGGGCATGGGGGAAAGACCATCTCCTCTGCACAAAAAAGAAAACTGACCCAAGAAATTTTCCTTCCTTCAGGAACAAATTCAGACTCATTTGGAGGTTCGAAGGCAAGAGAGAAAGAGACTTGAAGCACTGAGAGCGAATGAAAAACAGAAACACCAGGAATATCAGGTTGGTGCTTGTGGCTAGTAATGACAAGGATGCCTTGGAGGGAAAGGAAAGGGTCTCTTGCACTACATGTTTGGTGAAACTGTGTGTGTTGTTCTCTGACCCTGTGTCACTGTGTGCTGGCAGGTGCACAGGATCCAGCAATTCAGGCAGTCACTCCCAGAGTGCCTACACAGTATTCCCTGGCTTTCCGCTCCCCAGTCTGCCCTCCCTGACCTGGTTTACACTGTGTTCATTGCAGGAAAAGGCAGAAGTGGAGAAGCAGAAGATTGTGGCTGAATTTGAACGACTGCGCCAGTTTCTGGAGGAACAAGAGCGTCTTCTGCTGGCCAAGTTGGGAGAGCTGGAGAGGGAGATTGAGAAGAGTCAGGAGGAGAGGGACACCAAACTCACTGGGGACATTTCATGTCTCAGCAGCCTGATCGGGGAGCTGGAGGGGAAGTGCCAGCAGGCAGCCAGTGACCTCCTGCAGGTGAGGCATGTAATCCCTTTGATTCCTGCACTGGGAAGGGAAAGGTTTGAGCTCCCCAGGGGTGTCTGGGGACTCAACAGTCAGAGTTTGCAAAGGGACCCAGATACTTGGGTCCTTCCTCCTCCCCTGCCCCTCCCAGAACAGGAGGGTCCTGAGCGTGTGGCATGTGGCACTGAACTCTCCCTCTCCTCTTTCTCTCCCCTCCAGGACATCAGGAGCACATTGAGCAGGTAGGTGGCTCCACCTCACTCCCCATGCAGGCCAGGGGAGTGCTTGATCATGTCTTCCCAGGGTGCCACAGGACAGCAGGTGAGACAGGGTCACCATTTGGATACAAGCCTTATGTGCAGGTCCAATGCTGATGTTGTTCCCTCTTTAGTATGAGCTCTGGGACAATCTTTGGGGTGGGAAAGACTAGTCAATGCTATTCTACACCCCTGCACAATGACTGCCTGAGGACAGTAGGTCTGGAGGCCTTTCACTTTATGGCTCCTGGGGAATCACCCTGGCCACCAGAGCATGAGCCAGCTAGCCATGAAATCTCAGCTCCTTTCTGATCTCAGGAAATGTCCTGGACAGTTTAGAGTTGAAGACCATTAGTCAGCCCCTACTGAGGGTGCTGGCAATGCCATTGTCTGTCTGTACATGGAGATACTCAGTCTCCAGTTCCCTCCATCTAGCCAGGTTTGCTACCTTGAAGTGAGTTACAAAAGGAGAATGGAATAACGTAAAATTGTTCTTCCCAGGTGCGAGAAGGGGCAGGTCCAGCTGCCAGTGGGGATTTCCCAAGAAATAGAAACAAGACTCAGAAAGTTGTCTGGACAAAATCTAAATCTAAAGGAGACTTTGAGGCAGTTTCAAGGTATTAAGAGGGTTGTAACTGGGGGACTAAGGAAGTGTCCCTGTTCAGGGGAAGGATACAGGCTGTGGGTAGTAGATGTTTATTTGGAGCCTGCATCTTTATGTGAGGGAGAGAAAATGAAAGCACTGGCCTGATATTGCAGGTCACAGGAACGAAGCCTTGAGGCAAGAGCCTCCTGTGCCCTTGGCCAAATCACTGATGAACTTGGGCCCTTCAGGGGTCCCCTTTGTCTGAGCTGCAGAGCCCCTGCTGCTCCAGGGCTGCTCAGCGTGCGCACCTGCAGCTTGGGGTGGGGAGGGAGCTGCAGGCCCCTGTCTCACTGATAGCCAGATCTTGGAGCCTCATGTCTGGCCACCAAAGTTAACAGCCTAAATTAAAGGAACATCACATTTCCTGGTTTGGAGCTTGCTGGCTTGGCCCTAGGGGACATAAGGGAAGCTGTAAGCTCCTCTCCCAAACTGGAAAATCCCTAAGCCCAGAAGCCTCTTTCCCAACATCTGCAGGTGCAGGGAGAGTGTCTGGGGGGGCAGGAGAGGAGCTGGGAGGGAGCAGAACAGGGAGGCGAGGGGTGGCCTGGGTGAAGCTGCACCTCTGATATCCTGCACCCCCACGGGAGTGGATGGTGACTCAGACTGGACCCCTGGACTTCCCCAGCCAGTGCGAGGCCTTGTCTGATCCCTAAGCCAATGAATGAGGGAGTTACAACTCCTACTACTTTATCCTCCTACTACTTTATCCCCTTAGCCAAGGGTTCCCCACAACCCCACCACTTTCCCTTGTTTGGCACCGAGTGCCTCCTCCCCAGTGCCTAAAGGGCCAGGATGGGCTCCACACTGGGTTCCCCTGGGTCCGTGGTTTTTACATCCCTCCTTCCACGCCTCTGCCTGCACCTGCAGCTCCATCCCTCCCTGTCCTGGGAGAGGAGGCCCCTGTTGCAGGGGAGCAGGGAGATGTGGAGGCAACTTCTGCAGCCACAGGCCCAGCAGCAGGGGAAGGAGCTGCCGCAGTGCCTCTACTCAGTCTCAGGGGCTCAGGACCGAGGCATGGCCCAGCTCATAGCATTTTTTTTTTTAATTTTATGTATCCCAAGCCAAATTACCCAAAACTAATTCCAAATCCTGGAGTCCAGGACCATAAGTGGCCATACTGCCAGCAAACATCCTCCAGCCCCATTTGGGGCTTCGGATGTTCCCAAATCCTTTGGTGGGCATCCTACTTGCAGGTCCAAGCCCAAAGGCTTGGGGTCTGGATGCCCCCAAGTTTTGCTTGCCCTTAGCCATAAGGCCCTCGGAGCAAGCTAGGGAGGAGACTCCCATTTCCACAAAGTGGGCTTAAAGCCGCTAAACTTCGGCGGGTACTGAACCACATCAGAAGAGCAGTTCTCCCCAGCTGCACTTTAGGAGCACTGCCCTCATGTACAGAGATACATGGTATTTCCCCTACCAGGTTGTAGCATGAACCAGACTCCTGAGATATTATGTCTGTGCCCCTTTCCCCTGCAGAAGCTCTGCTGTCCGAACTGGAGAAGGAATCATACGCAAAGGGTAAGCGCTGGGGGAACTTGTCCTGGAATTAACATAATGATCCGACAGATCCCACAGCTGCCCCTCACGGAAGGGTCAGACCCTCTCCCAGCCCAACACCAAAACCCCTGCACCGAGACCTGGGGCGTTGGGCTGGGATTTTCCTGCCCTTGCCTGTGGATTTACTGCCACCTCCAACCTTTCCCTGGTACTGGGGCTCTACCCTGTTCCTGGCTGAGGAGCTGCGGGGCCCTCTGTGCTCAGCCTCTGGGCCCAGGGCAGAAGCAACTCCTGGGACCCAGGACAGTCCCAGGCAGGACGGGGAGGGTGGAGAGGGTGAGGAACGGCCCCGCCTGCCCCAGGGCTGAGCTCTGCCCTGACGCTGTGATTCTCTCTGCCAGTGACGGTGACTCTGGATCCAGACACAGCTCATCCTGATCTCATCCTGTCTGTGGGTGGGAGAAGTGTGAGCTGCGCAGAAACACAGCAGTGTCTGCCCAACAATTCTGAGAGATTTGATGTATATGAGTGTGTGCTGGGCCATGAGAGATTCACTTCTGGTAGACACTACTGGGAGGTGGAGGTGGAGGAGGGGGAGTGGGCCGTGGGGGTCGCCAGAGAGTCTGTGAGAAGGAAGGAAGACATCAGCCTTAGCCCTGAGGAGGGGATCTGGGCTGTGGTGCACTGTGATGATCAGCTGTGGGCTCTCACTACCCCTGATCTAACCCTGTTCTGCCTGTGCTGGGTGCCCAGCAGGGTGCGGGTCTGTCTGGACTATACAGCGGGGCTGGTGTCATTCCTTGATGCTGACACCGAGGCCTCGATCTTCACCTTCCCGCCAGCCTTGTTCGCTGGGGACACAATCCGGCCCTGGCTCGGTGCGTTGGAGGCTGGATCCAAGCTCAGACTGTGTAATTGAGTGCGGGGCGGAGAGAACAGCCGGGGAATGTTACGTCCCACGCAGGGAAACAGGCCGCTCTGGTCTCCCCTTCTCTTTGACCCCAGACAAACCCCCTCTACCAGCCCCTGTCCCCTCCTCTATGTCCCCGGGAGCTGCCCAGGTGAAAGGTGCTGTCTGTACAGACAAGACCATCCCCTTGCAGTGGGGACAGCATCCTGCTGGGGCCTGGGGGTGGGAGGCCACTGGGCTTGGAGCCTAAGCCCTGCCAGGCACTGGCTGTAGGAAGCTGCTCGGCTGGTTTGCTGCACAAGAAAAACCAACTCAAGCACAAAGGCCCCTGGGCTGGGGGCTTCTCAGAGCTGGAAGAGTTTCACTCAGGGCAGGCACCTCCCTGAATCTGGCTCCTCCACCACCAATGGTTCCCTTGTAGTGCCTGGCCCTGGGCCCCTGGTGGCTTCACGTCCATAGAAATATCAATAAATGTTGCAACTGGGGTTTCTTAATGGGCTTTTGTCACTTGGGCCTTCACTCCTCCTTTTCTCTCCCTACATTTCCACTGCTTTGGATTCCGTCCCCTTGCTCTGACGCACATGGCAGGATGTTCCCTGTGGCATGGACACCTCTTTTCCTTGGTCTGGTCTTAGACCTTGGCCTTCTTCAGAACCAGACAACTTGACTAACAAAGCTGGGCAAAGGCTTATTTACCCAGAAGCTCCTTGGCACACTCTGGGAGCCAGGCGGGGCTGAGTGTGAGGCAGGAATTCCACTGACCTTCACTACAGATGTTTTCCACCTCTGAGGATGAATTCAGGCAAGATGGCAGAGACTTTGCGTTATTGTGGATCTGAGTCCACAACACCACACAGGGCCTCGGAAATTATATCGACTGTGGCTGGACATGACACAAACAGCAGCAGGACCTGGGGCTGGTGAGAGGGGAGCTCTTGTTTCTCTCAACCCCACCCTCATCTCCTTTACCCCAGCATTGGGATCTGTCTGGACAGGCTCCTGAGTGATGCTGTGCAAGCCGAGTACATTACTGAACCTAAAGGTGAAATCTGCCCAGGGCAAAGTCTTTTAGGAGACCTCAAAGCGGGACACCACATCATGCCATGTGAGAATTTCATGCACTTCACACACTGGTGCTTCATCTACCAGGGCCCATCTGAATTGCCTTCCGCTCAACAGTGCCAAGAGACCAAAGGTATCAGGCCGAGAGTGAAAGCCTTCCCCATGCCTTGTGAACCCCATGCAAGAACCTAGTAAGTCCTCCACAATGCCATCCCAGACCAGCAGGTGAAGGCCATCTCAGCATCACTTGGGATGGTAGCCATGAATCGCACAGTCCTGACCAGTGACAGCCAACTGCAGCTAAACATTGTGATAAGAAACAAAAAGGTCCTGATGATAGTTGCACCAGGAGGCAGACAGGGGAGCCAGCCCAGTTCCAAAGACCCCTGGCAGCCTGGCCATGTGCTCCTGCTGCCCCACTTTGGGCCCCGCTAGCGCTAGCCCTGGTGCACTGGTGCGACCACATGCTCATATTTAGCTGTTGCTGCACTCTGTGCATCCCCTCACTGTCCCTTCCCACTGCCTGCCCCAGCGATTTCCCCAAAACCCCTCCACCTGCCAGCCAACTGGCACCACATGGCTCCCAGCTCCAGCACCAGGGTCAGCAGGAGCAGCTGGGACATGGTGCTGGAGCGGCGAGTGGGGGGACAGGGAAGCAGCAGGGTAGCAGTGGAAGATGGGAGGAAGTGGCAGCAAGCAGACCAGGAATGGCAGGAGTGCAACGCCTGGGCCTGGAGGAGTGCTGGGGGGACTCTGCCTGCCACGGTGGGGAGGAAGGCTGTGGGCAAACCCTCCCCTTCCCCCAAGCCACAACCCTCCCCAGCCACTCTCCCCCAACACACAGCCCCCACAAAACCCACACCCATCCACACACCTACAAACCTATACCCACCCACCCACAATATACAAAAGTAAGACTTCATTTTAGCTGGGGTAAGCAAAATATGCTCATGGGCTAGATCTGGCCTGCCAGGCCATTCTATCTGGCCCACAGAGCCCCTAAAAAATTAATAAATTAATATTTATTTGTTCCTGGCTGCCTGTCAAAACTGACAGGAGCTAGGGGCAGTAGGACCCAGGGGGAGCCCTCAGCAGGACTGAACAACCCAGCCCCACCCCACCCCCAGCCATTTCACTCTCTTCCTGCCCCTGCCCTGCTCCTGCATCATGTGGCTCCCAGCTGCCTCACTGGACTGGGGAGCACAGGGCCCCACTGGTACATGTGTGTGTGTTCATAAGGTGAGTCCCACACGTACATCCCACCATACACATGTACCCTCACCCCCCCACACACTGCCATACATGCAGACCCCCACACCCCCTCACACACTCCAGCCACACTCCCCCAACACACAGCCCCTTACAAACCTTATACCTACATACCCACACACCCACAGCCCCCAACAAACCTATACACACCACCCATGATATACAAGAGTAAGATTTCATTTTAAGCTATTGTGCAATCACCTCTATGTGCACTACACAAACACATGTAAATCAGGACAAAAATATTTTTTGAAAGCAAATTAATGAATGCCGTAGACACTTGTTTTTTAGAATATACAGTAAAAGCTCTGTTATCTGGCATCCCCCAGGAATGAGGGATGCCGGATAACAAAATATGCCAGTTAATGAGACAGGACTGATTCAGATGATAACAAAATATATCGGTTTCTCCAAGCCCCTATGGCCCAGGGCAAAGCAGCCTATGCTGCCAAGCCCCCATGGCCTGGGGGCATAACAGGCTGCGCAGGGCTATGCGGGGCCCACCTGAATTAGTGCTTCGACAAACCTATTAACCTTCCTGCCTCCAGCTTCTCTGACAGCAATGGTTCCCTTGTACTGCCCGACCCTATGCAAGAATCTGGGCACATATCTGTGCTGTAAGGAGGCGAGAGATGCAGGGGTGTCTGTGAACTGATCAAATCCTTTTGTTTCAAATCAAATGCAGCACCGGAGCTACCCCAGGGGCATCTCCTGCCATCTCTGTGTCTAACAGGCCGGAAGCAGAGCTCTTGAGAGCTATGGCAGAGGCCCCTGAAGTGTCTTTGCTGGCTCAGTTCCAGGTTTGGGTGTGTAAGTGGGAGCAGCTGGGAGCCCTCTTTCCTTCCTGAGTGCCCAGGATGAGATGAGGATGGGCCCGCAGGGACTTTGTACACAGGACTGATTCAGATGAGACTCAGGATCCCAACGCAGCATCCCCACAGGACACCAGCACTCAGACTTGTCTCCCCGGGTCTGTTGAGGAGCCCCAGGTCCAGCACATGCAGAGGAACAGACTGAACACACCCATCATGAAGTCCCCGACCTTCAAGTACCAGATCCTCAGTCCATCCTCACACTCCCTCTTTGCAGCCTTTGTTCCCTGTTCTGAGGCATGTGGGAGAGGGAGGAGATGGGAGTGTAATGTTTGTGGAGGGGCTGGTGACACTGGCCACCCTGACTAAGGACATCTGTGAGGCCAATTGTAGCACAGAGCTCAAGGATGGAGGCTTCATTGAGGGAATGATGCATCTCAGCCTGCCTCAGAGCAGCCCAAGGGGCACAGGGGTCTATCTGTCAGGCGGTGGTGACTGAAGTGAATTTTGTTCACATGCAGCCATAGAAATTTAAGTCCTTACTATGGGAAGGTGGCAGTGGGGGGTGGTGTGTGACATTCATCAGCAGGTTGCCCTGGAAGAAAGCATCAAGCTGGGAAGGGACCTGTCTCGGCTACTTCCCAACAGGCTCCTGGTCAAAAGGACATGCTGTATGGCCTGACGCATGACCCGGTCCCGCACTGCTCATCCAGCCCACAAGGCCAAATGAGTTTGACACCCCTGCAGCAAAGGAATGTGGCGCTGGTAGTTGCCCCGAGTGTCTGTCACTCGTTTCCCCCAAACACAAGCAGTAACCGTCCCGAAATACAAAGCTTCCTGAGCCCCCAGAGAAGGCTGCACTGTGGTTTGAGCCCCTGGTTTCTGGCTCCTGTGCAGCCCAGCATTGTTCTTCTTGTGGTCCCTGATTCAATGAACGACTATGTAAGAAGAGCAGCAACAGTACAGGGGAAAAATCGAGTCGATAGTATCAAATCCTTTTGTCACCAAAAGTCATTGGGCTCGTATGCAGGCAGCAATCTCGGTTGTGGGTGTGGAGAAAAGACTCCATCTCCTCCACTCCTGAAAGAAAACAGACCCAAGAGGTTTTCCTTCCTTCAGGAGCAAATTCAGGCTCATCTGGAGATTCAAAGGGAAGAGAGAAAGAGGCTTGAAGCACTGAGAGCGAATGAAAGGCAGAAACACCAGCAATATCAGGTCAGTGTTCATGGCTAGTAGTGAGGAGACAGCCTGGAGGAAGGGGAAAGGGTCTCCTGCTCTACTTGTTTGCTGAAACTGCTTTGTTTTTGACCCTGTGTCACTGTGTGCCGGCAGGTGCACGCACCCAGGCCCTAACTGTGGTGAGAGGGAAGGTTTGTTGGAGGGAACCGTCCACCTCTCCCATATGTACGTGCCTACCCTTCAGGGCTGTAGAGAAAACCTTCCCAAGAGGAAAACAGTGCACAGCTGCCAGGCGGGACCAGAGATGCTGAGCAGCCCCGACTTGAGCTACAGACCGTGGGAGCTCTGGGGGTCCACCTTTCCAGGCAGTCAGGTCCACGGGTGCTTACACTGTTTCCTGGCCTTGCTATCCCCACCCTGCCCCCTCTGACCCAGTGTTTCTCTGTTCATGGCAGGAAAAAGTAGGACCCCAGAGGCAGAAGATTGTGGCTGAATTTGAGGGACTACACCAGTTTCTGGAGGAATAAGAGCATCTCCTGCTGGTTGAGCTGGAAGAGCTGGAGAAGGGGATTGAGAAGAGTCAGGAGGAGAGGGACACCAAACTCACTGAGGAGATTTCCCGTCTCAACAGCCTTATCAGGGAGCTGGTGGGGAAGTGCCAGCAGACAGCCAGTGACCTCCAGCATG